CAGCACTGCACAGACCAATCGGTGAGAGCTATTTGAAAGAAAACGGAACCATCTGCTCCCTAATCGCTCTTGCGGTACTTTGATGTCATACACTGACCAGTCTGTGCAAGGCCGTTTCAAGTCGAACACACCTAGGGCCAGATTTACTAAACTAGGCATATTAGCGTAAGAGTGCAATTCCAAAAAAGTGCCGATGGGAGTGGAAAGTTTTGTGGGGGATCTATTGCTATGTGCAAATTAAAAAAACACAGAATAAGCCATATCTTTTTCATAATGACCAATGCAATCTACAAAGAGCAGCACAAATTAGCATAAGGTGGCAAAAAAAGCCAACAGTATTTTTGGATAATGCCTTTCTCTGGCATTCCAAATAAATTAATACAAGTGGAAAAATGTCTCTGTTCTCTGCAGTGCCTCTTGGCAGCAACAATCTCAACCATGTGAAGAATATAATGGGTTAAGATGTTTTTTTGGGTGGTAAATAAAGGCACAAATGCTGGTAAATTATCGCAAACCTTAGTAAATAATGTTGTGTGATTCATTTAAATACCCTCCTCCCATAAATGTTGCGTTTGAAAGGCAAACTCCTACAAATGCATATGCAATAAGGTCAGCTGCAAAAATTATTTTTGTGAATATTCACGCCTTTTCGTTGCAAATTTTTACTGCACGCCTTTAGTAATTCCTGACAGTACTTTTTTAACACCAGACTAGGGTTTAAACTGGTGCAAGCTGTTAGTAAATCTGGGCCTGTATACACAAAACATCTTGTCAGTCCAGTCCTAAATTTAGGACTCCTACATTTTTTATCGAAAAGTATTTCACTAAGCATTTTAGCAGTAAAACTAGCTCCTAAATCTGTGAAACGTTAGGAGTAGTGAAGAGGACTCCTAAAGTCACTAAGACCAAACCACAAACTATTCCTAAAATGGCTGTTGCCGGCAATCTGCCTCGGAAAGTAAACATTTTAGAAATATTTGACATTAATGAGCTTTTATAAAGGTATCACCTTCGGTTTTGAAGGTTATCCCAACTCCAAATTGTCCTTTGATTATGTTCTTGTTTTCATTAACCAGTTGGGCAAGAAGTAACAGCTGTGCTTGTGTCCAGTTTGGTTTTCTTTTACGTTTGCATGTCTTACTATCAGCCATGATTATTCTACTCTGTTTATTAAAAGGCTGTTTATATGCATATTCACTAATTATGAGAAGCATACATGCAAGAGGTTGACAATTAGCTGAACACATACTTGTTTAATTAGTGACACTTTAGCCTGCATTTTAAAATCTTTATTTGAATGTGGCAACATTGTTATTTTTAAACCTTTATCTTTACTCCAAAATATTTATATGAATAAATCTCTGACAGAGACTATCAGCCAATCACTGTGTGCATAGTTAGTAAGCATGCTGACATCATCCATAGCAACGAGGTCAACCCCGCCCTTACTCTTAGCTTAAGACTTCTCTCTACTCCTTAGTAAACGTTTGTCTCAGCAGCTTTGTGAATAGGTTTAAAGAGAAAACTCTTTGCTAAACACTTTTACTGCTATTTAGGAGACCTCTTAGTGGTAAGATAAAATGTTTTGTGAATACGGGCCCTGGTCCCTGCAAAGAAACATGGAAGTCAAGAGTCCATCAGTTGTACCCATCAAACGGCCCTTTGAAGTGGTCAGTTTCAATCACTTAAGTTTGGAACAACACTTCAATATGGCGACCATGATCATTCTCACACCGAAGTGTATTTTAGAGGCAGATTTATCCCATGTGGAACAAGGTGAGAGTGGTGTTTCGTTCATGAATGAATCAGCTGGTTTGTTTCTATGGTTCACTTACTAAGACGTTGCCAATTACTGGTGGGTTTTGTTTCATATATAATACATTTCAAATAATAATAATTTCATATTTTATGCAACATTTCATATTTCTGTATTCTATATTCTGTTTATTTATTTATTTTTTCTTTCTTTCTATCTTTTTTTTTTGCTGCTGAGTTTATTATTTTGAGAGACCAAATTTTGACTGATTTCTTGGTGCTTCATCATGCCCTCAGAGAGTTTGTTGCTATTTTAGGAGCTCTATTATCAAGTGCCTACCTCGTGCAATGCATGTTAGCTTGTTAACAGCTCTGCTATGGCAACAGTGTGTGCCTAGTGTGGAAACAGCAGGCACATGACCATTCGGTCTGCAGTCTCGAATGTCCTTTGGCTTTTTCTCCATTGGCTAGCATGCTGTTTATTTGGGGTAGCATAGTAGATGTGCATGGTGTTGTTGCTGATCTGAGATTGTCTACAGAAGTGTCTGTCAGGTTGACCTTGACCCCACCAAAGTAGTTAACCTGATCAACTATTGTATGTAGACCAGCTTGAACAAGAAATAAACCATATTTAAAAAAAAACGAATGTTGGACATATTCCAGTGAACATTTAAAGAGTCTATTTTTGAGTTTTTGTTGTTGTTGTTGTTTTAACTATCCCATTCATTTTAAAGGGGCTATATGTAAGAATTTGTAAATAAATAATAATCACTTTTTTATTGCCAAGGTGTGAACAGCTTGTAAAGAAACTTAAAAATTAGGACCTTTCTTGACTTCCTAGGTTGTCTATAAAAGCCTGTAGACTAATTTATGTAAAGGACTTGGGTTTTTGCTGTGAAAATCAAAAGGTTGTGACAGAAAGGATGTTTTTCATCAGCGATAGAAATATGATTTAAGAAGGATAAGAGGTAATGTTATCAAGTTTAGTTTGAAAATGTTTAATAGCAAGTAAGACACATTTAGACAACATTTAAAGAAAATAATAATAATAATAATAATAATAATACATATTTATTTGCAACAACTGATGGAGTGCTGAATGCTGCATGCTCACGCAGCGTTGTCAGAGTAATATTGAGCATGAGCAAATAAGTTGCTGACTGCAACTCACTGAATGGCCACCGGTGTCACTAATAACAAGGGGTTCTGAATTCTACATAAAGTCCCTTTAAAGGGGTCATATGATGCTGCTAAAAAGAACATTATTTGGTGTAATGAAATGTGTTTATGCGGTTTAAAGTTAAAAAACTTTATTATTTTCCACATACTGTACATTATTGTTTCTCCTCTATGCCCCGCCTTTTTGAAATGCGTCGATTTTTACAAAGCTCATCGGTCTGAAAAAGCGAGGTGTGCTGTGATTGGCCAGCTATCCAATGCGTTGTGATTGGCCGAATACCTCAAGCGTGAGACGGAAATGTTACGCCCCTCACATACTGTTGATGCCGTGTCCGGCCGGAGCGACAAGACAAAAACATTAAAACCCATTACAAACGAGGCATTTGTTGCCGCGTAAACATAAAACTCTGTCTGCATTTGAGATCAGAGAAATGACAAACAGCAAGAGCTACCCTACACTGCCCAAAACTCGCGTTTGAATCATCAGTGGCAAATCCTTTAAATTAAAACGTACTTACAGTCTTTGAGTCAGAACAGCCGGCATTGTAGTCAACTCTCCCTCGAGCAGTAAACAGTCCTCCATAAAATGTGCTGCACACATCTGGATATTTGGGTTGAACTGTTCTGGAACAGTGTTGTAAATACAACATAACCACTGATTTGTAGTCGTGTCCTCTTTTGCAAGACTAAGCGAAGTAGTTTCGCTTTCACAACGAAAAACACAGCGGCCTAGCGTGAGCTGAAGCCCCGGCTTAGCGTGCGCTGAGGCCGGGATAGAGTGAGCTGAAGCAGCGGGGTCGAGAACGGCACACCCGGCGGATCCGACGAATGAGCAGCAGCCACATGTGACGACCCCGGGCTGGACTCCGCTTTGTCCACGGTGAAAGTTGAGTATTCCCTCAGCGACCAGCACAGATCAGCTCTAGGCATGACGAAGCGGATATCGTCCTCTTTTGGAAGACCAAACAAAGTAGTTTGTTTTAGGTAGGTGTGGCTGACTCTGAACTTTTATAAAGAATATCTCTTTGGATTTGAGACTTTAGTCTTTGCAACTTTACAGATCTTCTTTATGCACAAAGAGCTTGTAACACTCCAAAGAGAAAGAAAAAGGTGAAATCGCATCATATGACCCCTTTAAATAAAATGAAAACAGACAGTTCTGTTTAATCTAGCATGTTGCCATTTAAATGTACAACAACAGCTCATACTGGGGCTTTTAACAAGCAGTAATTTCACAGGGTTGCATAAGACAAGTTGTAAATTGAGCCACCCCCTGAGTCTAGAGAACAGTTTACAGCATTTGTTACATGATATATTCAAGAAGTACTCTTCATTTGGCTTGATGTGACTGAGAGGAGCATATGGGAAAAGTGTTGAATGTTTTTTGTTTAATTCTAAAAACTGTTTATTTGTGTTATATCACTACATATTCATCACATATTTCCAATGCATTTACACAAATTACATTTGTGTTATTTTCTAGTTTTGATTGCTTTTCTATTAATATAAAATATGGAAAATGTTAATAAAAAGAACAAGACATGTCCAAACCTTTGACAGGTAGTGTTTCTATAAATAATGACATAATAAAAGCATACTGTGCTTTCCAAATTAGGTTGTTGAAAGCGAGGTGTAGACAGTTCGATTTCTAGGTACTTCACTGCATTCTCAAAGGTTGTGTCAGTGATTGGCTGCCAAAGATATCCCACATGTCAGTGAGATTTTAAGATTGCACTGTTTTTTAAGGTAGCCAGAGGTAGTCATCTGCTAGCTTGCGACACTCATTTTATTACTACTTCATTATAAAACTTTTTTGAGACTGCAATTGCTGCACATTGCGTTTAATAGGATAAACCTGACATTAAACAACTCCTGGCACATTTAACTCTCATTAATGCATGCATATATTGAAATTGTAATCTAAAAGACAGAAAACATACCTTGGGAATGGATGAGGAGGTATACTTGAGTCTTCTTTCTCCAGTACATCGTTTTTATGATGCTTTCCTTTAATGTTTGCTTTTAGTAGAGAATGAAGTACTAACTTCTGTCTCTGACCTCCACAGAATGGCCTCAACGCTTTGCACTTGGCAGCAAAGGAAGGACATGTGGACATGGTCCAGGAGCTGCTGGGCAGGGGGTCTTCAGTTGATTCTGCAACCAAGGTAGAGTTTCTCAAGAAAAATATGAATGGTACTTGTGTTAAGGTTTACAGAGACTGGCCAGAAGCTACAACTCAAGTTTACAAATAAAAATGGTGTAACATTATGCTGTGCTTTAAAAAGTATGCTAGCAACTCTGTAGATCACTTGCGAATGGTTTCTAGCTCTGCAGCACTGGAACTCTGTGAGGGACGTTTCTGGGAATGGCTTTGTGTAAATGAATGCTGATCAAAACCATACACAGATTATTGTTTTCCTGACAGCTTGAAATAGTCTTAACAACACTTCCCAACCTTTCAATCACCAACCCAACACCTGTAAATACACGAAATGAATAGGGGGGAAACATGTCAGCATTGACATTTGAATATCAGTTCTTATTTCAGGCTGTCAGGTCCCTTTGACATTCATGCTGTGCTACTGCTTAAATTCATGTTTATAGACAACAAGTATGTGCAATAGAGATGTATTAAAACAACAACTTTGTCATTTTAAATATAGAAATTTTGAGGCTGTGCTTTCCTTTTGTGACAGACTGCCATAGTACTTCAGTCAATATGACAAGAGCTGAAAGGCAGGACCACTAAGGCTCCTTCAGGCTACTAGACATGTACTCGTGAAAAGCTCTGTTAACTGTTTTGGGATATATAATTTATGGAATTTTGTGTACACTTCTAAAGTGTGCTTCACAATATCTTCAAAGTTTTATTGCTTTTTGAGTTTTCTTTCAAATATATGTCGCTGCATATGGTGGTCATATACATTTTCACCACACCACATATTTTTCATTATTTAAGTATGTATTTATGTATGTATTTATGTTTCAAAAATATTTCCCCTTGAATTCAAATATGGATGGGTAGTTAAAGGAATACAGTGGGCATATTTGGACACTAAATAAAGGGTTAAGGTTAGCTCTTTAGTACAGTCTGTTTATCTGTTTTCTAAAGGAAACAACTCATATTGGTCAAAACTACAAAAAACAATAGAGCCCCTTATAATCAGTGATACTGTCTACACTGAATGGCACATTCTATTTGTGACATACCTCACATGCTCATGCTCTGGCACAAAGGACAAATGGACGTGGAACATTGGTATTGATACATCCAGAGTAGAGCATCAAGCAGTTACGGCACACACAGCGCCACCTGGCCAATTCTACTCCATCACAGGAGACCTGATTCAAACCTGAAACAAACAGATGCGAAGACTAGAAATGATTCCGTTTAAAAATTTTTAATATATTTACAGCATGTAAGAGTGGATGCAGCCATTTTAAACATGAATGTGCAAGACATCTGCTGTCAGCCGCTTGCAATTATTTTAGCTGTGCAAAAACAGTTCATTATTGTTGCTTGATGTTATTGTAATCATAAGCATATTACTTTGTAACTGAGACAGTTTACTGCAATTTGTTAAGCCGGTTGTATGCCAGAAAAGCGGCACACTGCGCCAGAGCTAATTAAATGGACAGAGAAGCATTCTATCATATGTCTCTCTTGGAAGGATTTAAACATCCAATAAGACAAATCAAATAATAGAAAATATGTATTGTACAGTATCTCAGTTGATGTTTTTCTTGATTTCTGATTGATGCACAATATAAAGAAATAGCTAAATGGCTAAATTACTTTGCACAATCAATATTGCATTGCAAATTCAGAAACTTATCTAAAATATGACCTAGCATTGTTGTCCAGAAATAACAAGGAGCGATTGTATTTAACCCCTTTGCTGTCACCCCCCATTTTCGGCATGGAGACACAAATGACATACCCAAAATAAAAAGGTTGCTGCTCATGAGTCTTTCTGACTAGATACATAATCAACATATGTTCACAACGCTGACACTTCAGAGTTTACTGTTCAAGAATCAGAATTACTCAGACTGTTATGATAATAGAGATATATAAGCTCAAAAATAAAAATATTAAAACGTTTGTTTTTAAATGTATAAAAAATATGTTACTGTGGTAAATGGTTTTAGAAACACAATGAAGCTAAAGCCACAAGTCTACTAATGCTTCATTTCAAATTTCAGGACATAATCTCTAAAACTGTGAATTTTATGAAACATTTTCTATGAACATGTTATGTGTGCTTTTAGAGAAGGCTAACAAAATGCTAATAAAATTGATTTATGGCCCCCTGTAAGCTCTCCTGCGACCTGTCGCCCCATTCATGGTTCTATTGTTTTCACGCGACGAACCTTTCACACCTCAGCCAGGAATGAGACATCATCCTCATTATTCCTTTATCATTATTCTTTTGTTTTATTCAGCCATTAGTAGCCTTTATTCTGGAATTACAAGGTTTACCAAGCCACATTGCTTCAATCCCAGTATACATTTACCCAACTATTATCAAAAGTATTTCTAAAAAAATACAACAAAACATTTTCTTACGACCTTACATCAATTATTATGACAAAATACTTTATGTAGAAGAACTGCACCTGTTCTGCAGCTGCATTAGAGCTAACATTAGCATCAAGCTACACAAGACAATTTATGACATTAACAGTATACTTTTACTCAAAACTCACTTTAAACCACCATAGAGTATTTGTAATAACTTCCTTTTGCGATCACATGTGGAATTTGGTCGTTTACTGTTGTAAAATATGCTATTTATAGCCTTTTATATCGCTGCACAAATTAGCATTTCAAATGTTTACACATTCTTTATTGTTATGAAAATACCCCAAATCTCAAGAAAATCACATACAAAACACATACTGTCGTAATCGTGTGTTTATTATTTGGATATTTCGTGGATACAGACGTTTAGAACTGAACGCGGAAGAGCTGGGAAATGCATGACAGGATGAGACGGGGCGGGATATGATGCGCAGTTATGACTGACGATGGACGAATCATCAAAAACGGTGCAAAACATTTTTAAAACGGAAACGGTGGTGTGTTGAACACCCTGTTCTGATGACGCAAGAGTTGCAACTATGGCAGCTGAGAAGGCCAGTCTTTGTGTTCCTTTTGAAGAATTTTCGGAGCCTGATGAAATCGGTATGAATACATGTTAATAGATTACTGCAAAATATGCTCGATGTTACAGTCACTACCCTTGCCGTCCAGAATAAAAGAGAACATCCGAATCGAGTCAAGGGATTTGTGGAAACTGTGGTTCCTAATTATTGTGATCCAACATTTGCCTCGCATTTCAGACTAACAAAGACTAAAAAGACAAACATTTCAGGTGAGGGATAATCCACTTCTTACCTCCAAGACTGTGTTATGACCTTATTATTTTTATTGTGAGTATTAGGCTTATCATTATTGCTGATCACTGTTGTTGTGCTATGATATTGTAATATTTACCATTATATAATCAGAGGGGCATAGAAAAGTTTATGAAAGTGTCACTCCATAATACAATAGCAAAATATATAAATATGTATTTTTATGTTACATTAATCAGTATTTAGCACATCTTCCTAAGGAAAAGATATGGACCAGAAGACATTGCAATTACTAAATGATATTTAGACAAACTTAAAGAAGTTCCAGATCTATACTTGTGCCCTTATTATTTCAGTTATTTTGCCTTTAATGTAAATAAACATGTGCAAACAATATACTTGCTCTTGTGAATTTATTTGGCTGTTAATTACATTGTGCCAGCTGTCTCTTTAATACCGCATGGTTTACATACATGTTTCTGCTGATTGGGCTGACATGTTTGACACACCCACCAAACAAGAGAAAACACATCTCAAACCCCGTTGCACACCGTTTCCAGGAAACATGTCGTTCAAACCGGAAACCGTAGCAAAACGGTGCACACCGGTTTGAGCTTGAACTTGCCCCAGGACTCTCTCTGTCACAGCTCCCGCAAGGTTATATTCCGCACCCACCCGCTCACTCTTTGTTCACCCGCTGTCCACTTAGAATAATTTTCTTCCCGACCCGACCATTCCCGCTAAATGTAAATCTCGTTTCCAGAATCACACATTTAAATTTCCGCTACTGAAAGAAAGAGAGATCGGCTAACAAATAAAAGTTAGCCTGCACAAAATTGTATGTTATTTTATTCATATTGTCAAGAGTCTTGAATTTATTGACTTTGACTTGAATTTATATGAATTATCTTAAGACACAAAATTAGTTTAATATTTTATGCAACACAGTAGGAAAAAAGTGTGCAAAAATTGTATTTCTTATTTTTATTCGTCTTGTCAAGATACAATTCGTTTAACATTTATGCACAGACCCCGCAAATAAAACCCTTGACGCAGAAAGCATGCGTGCAGCGCGTGCATAACAGTCCGAGTGCAGACTGTACCCGGTGGTCAATAAGAATAAAGCGCAGATACGCTGTTCTGAATGGACGTCGAGAACGGGATATTGTTAGACCGCCTGCTCCCATTCAAATTACACCAGAGTTACCCACCGCTACCGCGTTTTATTCGGGAATTTAAAACAATTCGGGAATGCAGACCTCTACACGGAAGAGTAAACACACTGAGACAGCCCAGGGAGCTGCTAAGTATTATCAGATTGTGTAAATCAGTGGAAAATGAATAGAAATGATGATTCTGAAGAAATATGAAGTAAACGTGTAAATATATCTATATATCTCCATGTATATGCATCTTTGGAATATAAGCCCTTATTGACGCTGTTCAGTGAAGCTATGTGAACACAAATAAATCGCTGCAGACGTGACTGAATATGAATGCGTGGTGAATTTCTATTTCAAATATGACACATACGGATTTATTATTTTGCACTCCTGACATAAATTACTAAATGACTGTCACTGCAACAATGTTTTATCAAAACAGTGGTCAAATATCGAAGCTAGAGTATTTAATCTTTCTACTGTTGCACAGTTTGTCCAGATCAAGTAAGAGTGTGATGTTTTAACTTGCTGTGAAAGTGAAACAACAATAATCTGGGGCCGTTGCCGATCTTTGACAGTTAAGGGGTTAACAAATAGTTTTTTGAAGTTATTATCCATGCCTTTCTAAATAAGGTATTCAGCTTTGGGCACATCCCTGATATAATTTGTGGCATGCAATTTTAAGAGAAACGTCTGAGTAAATGATGAACGTGTTTGTTTGGCTCACAGAAAGGAAATACAGCTCTCCACATCGCTTCACTAGCAGGACAAGGAGAGGTTGTAAAGATCCTGGTCAAGAGGGGAGCAGACATTAATGCACAATCTCAGGTAGGAACAAGTTTGACATTTATGCCAGCAAAAGTTCAAGCAAAAGCAAAAAATAAAAAAATACAAAAATACAATAAATACCATTAAAATCTGTGTTCTTATAGAATGGATTCACTCCCCTGTACATGGCTTCTCAAGAAAACCATTTAGATGTGGTGCGCTATCTTTTGGAGAATGGTGGAAACCAGAGCACCGCAACAGAGGTAAAAAGTTCAAGTGCTTCTAAAATTGTATAGAATGATAAACTTTGATAAAAAGCCCCACAGCTGATCCTAAAGATTTCTTTGCTGATGGCAAAGTGCTGATTGCCTACATGCTGTAACAAATATTAACCCCTAACCCTGAACTACACCATAACCTTATCCTTAAAGTATACCCAGATAGCATCCAAATACTGTTGTGTCAAGATTATTGGCATAATTCAAGGTTAAGTGCATTATTTGAAATATTTGTTTTTCTCTTTTTGCAGGATGGCTTCACACCTCTAGCTATTGCACTGCAACAAGGCCATAATCAGGTGGTGTCCATCCTTTTAGAGAATGACACAAAGGGCAAAGTACGTCTGCCTGCCTTGCACATTGCAGCCCGAAAGGACGACACGAAATCTGCTGCCCTGCTGCTCCAAAATGACCACAATGCCGATGTACAGTCTAAGGTAAATATGGGCGGAACATGGGCGGAGCTGAGGGTAGTATGTTCAAGGATGGAAGGAAATATAAGGAAATATATATTGAAATCCAAATTGAAATTTGGCTTCAAAATTTAAAAAGAAGGTTTATTGGTAATGAATATTGTCATTATGAATAATAACAGTGAGTGTGGCCTTGGTGGGATTTACCAATCTCTGCATTAGTGTTGGGACCCAAGATTTGTTCTGGTAACGGTTCTTATACATCTTCATTCTTTTTCACGTTTTAGCAGGCTTGCAGTCTAAATGGGATATTATTTTACATATAGACTGGGTACTGTGAAATAATACAAAGACAACATCATCTATTAACACATCTATCATTGTTCTCACTGGGTGCATGCTAACACTGTAAAAAAAAATCAACCTTCTAAACTTTAAAGGTTAAACTGATTAAAGGTATTTCCTCCGTTGACTTCCATTTGAACAGAACTGTCAGGATTCTGCTGCATACACATTTTTAGCAAACATTGCAGTTTCCCAGGGGACAGGGGCTCTGTAAAAAAAATATTTTTTGTGATCTCTGACCTGTGCAAAGACATTTGATCAATCTCTCAGCTGAATTGGAAAAAAATACACAAACTTAAAAGCGGCATGTTTCGATGGGAGTTGTGGTGTCCGTAATTTTGCATGCTTTGCATGTGACTACAATTGCAGTTTGAATCAGACCTATGACTTGCTCAGTAATTGAATTGGTAGTTACACATTCAGAACAGTTTTGTCATAATAACTGGTAGTTTAATTTAAAACTCTGATGTTAAAATAGTAGTTTTTGTATGTTTAGGTATATTGTTAGCTCCAATTGAAACAAATCATCAGATTCATTTCATACCTTAAGATTCCCATCCCTACTCTGCATGTCGCTACTAACAGACCGTTACAGATTCAGCATCTTGTCACATTGTTCTTGTAAAACTGTCTTATTTATGGTCGTGTTTGTATGTGACTTGCAGTGGTTTCAGGATGTTTTTAGTGTCTTCCATTATTGTGCCAGATGAAATCTTTTGTCTGTGTTTGTCTCTCTGCGTTTCTCTGTTTCTCTCTCCAGTATAAATGTGCCTGCATCCTGTGTTTCCATCCTGACGCTATCCGGGTTTCACTGTTTTATCTACTTACCCATTACTTTATTTTATCAGTCGTAAAAACATTCACTTCTTAGTGTATGCCATAACTGACTGTAAATATGCAGAAACAGCATGCACTTGCAAAATGAATGTGCACAGACGCGCAGCCTACATTTGTGTGAAAGTGTGCATGCATGTCTGTTGTGTGCGGTGTGTTTGTGTTTGAGACCGAATGTTTTCTCTTTTTTTTTTTCGAAATGCTAATAGAGGTATTTATTTTTCTTTAAAATGGCCACTGAGTTATACTATAAGTGTAGTTTTAATTTTAGTTCAAAGTAAAACATGCAACATTCAGAATGTTTCTGATGATGAAAAATGTGCCAGTTTAATTTTAGTTTCAGTTTAAAACCAAAGTAGTTAAGTGATTCATTTAAAAAGAATTTTAGACATTTGTTGGCTTAAATGTCATATGAAATGTTTATATTTATGTATTACCGTTGTCAACTTTTGAGGCACATAAGCTATTTTTAGTCTAGCCTAATTTACAATATTTCATACAGATTCCTGTAAATATAGAACATCAAATTGATTAATGTTTAATCATAAGATGTGTGAATGTGTGATTTTGTCTATGTTTTGCTGGTAGTCCTGTCTTTTGATAGCTATTGTCATACAGCATCACACAAAAGCAAATTCTTGAGCCAAGACCACCATAAAACCACAATATTCACAATGTATTACAAGGGTTATTTTATTTTGCAACAGCGATAATAGGAGTTATTACTGAAATAATTTGATTTGAGTGGTCACGTGACTTCATACCGTTTACTTTTAAGAATGGGTTTCTAGCGGCAGGCTGGGTAATAGATATGGTCCCTCAGAGAAAAATGAAGACCTCTTGCTTCTCTGGCACAATTTGCATGCTGCCGCTATCAACCCCAAATGTGTTTGAGTGAAATATAACAAGCCTATTTCCTTCCCTGTTTTGCTGCAACAGATGATGGTCAATAGGACAACTGAGGTAGAGATATTTATCTAGTTCCTCATTTTTTTTGGCAAATAAAAACTATTGATTTATTGTATTCATTTTTGGTCCTCTTTTTGTCATGTAGAATTGAGCTTTTCTGTTTGTTCACTCAGCATTTTTAGTTCTTTTGAACCTTTGCATGGCTGGTTAGTCTCATTCACAGCATCATCCAAACCCCTTTGCATATGTCACGTCAGAAATTTCATTTATTTGTAAACTGTATTGAATGAGAATGTTATATGTTATATCTAGTGCCATGATTGCTGCTGATTTTTTAAGCTGCAAGGGCACTTTAACATAACTGTTAATGCAAGAGTACTACATGCTCAGTTGAGTTGAAATTATATATATATATAAAAAATAAAATTATTATTATTCACGTCCATTGTCTTAATGTTTTATTATCAATTTAGCAGTCTTTTTAAATTCTTTAGTTTCTAATAAATTAATAAAAAATATTCAGACAAGTGCACAACACTGTCTTATATTGGCTTTGCTTGCTGCCTTTACTGAAATATAAGCCTACACAAGCCTAGGGAAGCGAGTCACATGATTTTAATGAAATGGACATTTATTTCATTACCCTTACCTAAAGGTCAAATAGACCCCAGTGGCATGAATTTGCCTTTGAACAACAATTGCTTGACTTCCTGCACGCATTAGTGTGATTGCATTAAGCTCTTTAATAATATAATATATATAGGCTGTGCTAAGAGGGGTCAATCATTCTTTTTCAACATCCATACATCCACCAGAAATAATGTTTGAATGTTTGCAGGTGGCATATAAATTCTTAAACTGTTGTTGTGTTAGCGATATCAGTTATGAAGTTTTGATATGATTATGAATATTATTGATATTATTATTATTGATGGAATGATTATTATGTGATACACAGCTGGATGTATGAATGCTACCAGCTCAATGCAATATCATACATGTTACAAAAGTATGTTCAGGAGGAAGGTTTTGTAGTTAGTGGTCTATATAATTATGTACTTCGAAATTATCGGATTTCTTTAACCTTTGCAGGCAATTTGCTGTTTGCAAAGTTTTTATTAGGTTTTAATGTAATTATCCACTGCACAGCATGCTGCATCGCATATTTGATTTTGCACCAGCTTTGAACGTGTTTCACACAGTCAATATATTCTTCACACTTTTGTAAATGATGTTTTCACATTAAATCGGACCGTGACTTTCAGAATGGGAAGGTAAGGCAAGAATTTCACATATTCAAACTCCTCTACAATCTTTACCTTCTTATAGTCCAGACATGATTTTATTACTGATATTATCTGCATACTGCACTTTAGTTTTTTGATACTTTTATGTTTTCTTTAGTCTTTTTCTTTGATTACATTCCCCTTGTTTTCATTATACTAAAACTGTATGTCATCTGAAATGTTTTTTGTTTGTTTGTCTTTTGTTATGTTCTGTAAACAGCTTTCTCTTTATTTTAAGTTGATTTATTTGTAATTTTAGTATATTTATTTGTTTGCATGCCTGCGTCTAGTAGTTTGACCTCTCTTAAAGTTTATTTGTGTATGTTTATGTGTGTTAGTTGTCAAAATTCAAGTTTAAGGTTTCTTTTCAGACTTCTTCACATGGGACCAAAGGTGTCTTTAAGGCAACAAGGAGCTCAATCCGTTTTCATAATTGTCCATTTTGTACTTTTATGTGATTGCTGCATGCTAATGTAGTCTATTAAAACAAGATAATGTCAGGGTTGCAGTTTTTGGCTGGAGTTGAAGATGCCACTAATTGCAGATCTGAAACCAGCTTTTTAATTGTAAGTTAACATGGTTGTATAGGCGAGGTTAGCTGTTTTCAGATCTGTGTTTATTGACAGCTTGGCTCTAAAGCATTGTAGGAATGTTGTCTTATATCTCATGTTTTTTTTATTTTATTTTCTTCTTGTGCCCCATCCCCTTTTTATTCTTTTTGTAGAGTGGATTCACACCCCTGCATATCGCTGCTCACTATGGAAATGTAAATGTTGCAACACTGCTCCTCAATCGAGGGGCTGCTGTGGACTTCACTGCAAGGGTGAGTGTTTACAGCTTTTACATGCATGTACATGAGCTTGACTTCCTTAAGCACTTGTACATTTACTATTAAAGCTACTTCATAATAATACAATAAGATACAATACACAAACTAAGAATTTAAATTAACTTGACATTTAAAAAGGGCTAAATGGCCATTGAGGAAAAAATAAAAAATAAAATATATATTTATATATATTTGCATTTATGAACCTGATGAGTTGAGACCAAAGTTAACAACTATCTGAAATTATATAGTTAGGGAAATTATTATAAATGTATTTTATTTTTATTTTTATTGGGCATGATGTACAATCCAAGTTGTAAACATTTTAGGCAAAGCTTGTGATTTTACATTAGATGAAAAGAAATCCATAAAATATATAAAGATTCAATTAATTTCTGACAACACATTTTAAGACAACACATCACATGTATTTTTTAAAATATTTGTTTCTTTTGTCTGTACAGAATGGGATCACACCACTACATGTTGCGTCTAAGAGGGGAAACACTAATATGGTTCATCTGCTGTTGGACAGAGGGGCTCAGATTGATGCCAAAACAAGGGTTAGTAACAATTTGTTTGCACTTTTGTTTTGTACATAGTGTATACACATAACTGAGATGGCTAGCATTTTTATGAGTCTGATAAAAGCCAGATGTCAGTTAACAATAGAAAAAAAGGTATGCTATGCTTAGATCTAATTTATGAATTTATGTTTATGTTTTTTTAAAAGTTGCTCTTAAAAGTGTAATCTGCTTCATATCAAACTACTTAATAAACAGTAACAATTACCTATTGAAATTAAGAAACTTTCTTTCTACTTTGGCTGCTCCTGTCTGCACCACCAGCAGAATTATCAGCACATTGTTTTGGCACATTTTACACAGGATGACCTTTCTTATTGAAAATAAATAACTAATATAAAATAAATGATTAAAATAAACATTGTATCTGCTAACTGCTATCTTGGGCCAAATGCAGGGAATGGATGACCAGTTCATAACAGGGCTAACACAGACAAACACATTCACACTCTGAATCTATAAGCAAATTAGTGTCACCAGTTCCCCTGACCTACATGTCTTTGACTTGTACAGAAAACCAGAGCACCTGAAGGAAACCCATGCAAACACAGGGAAAACATGCAAAATTATCACATGAAGGCCTACTGGAACCTTCATCAATTGAAAGTCTCAATCCAATAAGCAGTCAGAAGTCTTTAAAGCCTTTGTTACATGCATTGTTATAATCCCATTTTAATTACATCATCCAGTTAAACTTTATAGGCTTTAATTTGCCAAAATATTAAAATGATACAAATATGTGTATTTATATATTCAAATACACATAGATTTGTTTTTGCCTGAATTGTAAACTTAATATTAGTGGAAACCACAATTCCTATGTGCAGTCACCAGTGATGATGAGTCATTGTAGCTGTGTGTGGGTGTGTGTGTGTGTGTCTGTGTGGTCTGATTAAAGCCATGACCGGCTGTGTTCTTCTTCAGATTTTGACTGCAGTGTGGAGTCCAGCTGGTTGTGTTCTGTCCCTTTCTTCTGCAGTCTCCCTCCTGCAGTGTCTGATGTATCATCCTACACACACACACACACCCCTTTCACGCTCTGTTGTTACTGACTTCAGCAGTGCTTTTTATGTGCTATAAGCAATGATGAATATACTGAGTGTAAAAGATACAGGAGAGAGACTATGGTTGAGAGTGTAGGGGTTAAGGAGAATTTACATGTAGATAACGTCCCATTTGTGATTTTTTTCGAGTTCCAAAGTGCTTTGTAATGAAATTACTGATGAGACCTTAAGGTGAGAATGTCTGTGTTGCAGGATGGCCTCACACCTTTACACTGCGCAGCAAGAAGTGGGCATGACACAGCAGTGGAGCTCTTATTGGAGAGAGGAGCCCCTATGCTGGCCAGAACCAAGGTAGCTATCGAAATGATGACTTTTATAATATAACATGCTATTGTTTTTTGTGTAATAATAAATATAAATTCTGGACGTTAACTGTAATGTGTTGTTGAAGGTAAAGGTAAAGGGTAAAGCTTTGTTACTGTTTGAAATTACACCCTAATACCTAAATTACTAAGTAATGTCTGTTATAGCTTTGAAAATCTTTCCCTTCCCATAACATGACATTTTGTATACACTGCAACATGTACAAAGACACACTACCAAACTCACCAAAGCTGTCAACACTGTAAGCAGTGCAACATCTAATGATGCATAGTCACTGCATGCAAGTAATCACTTATCCACAGCAAAAAAAAAAAACACTTTGTATTTAGTAAGTACTATTGTTTTGGATGAGCGATTGCCTCAACCATCTGATATAAGAAAAAGTTAATCCAAGAAATAGCAGTTTCAAAAAAATTCAACACAGTAACATAAATTAAATAAATGCAAATTTCGATAGGCATATCAAAAAAAATAATTATTAATATTATCTAATGATATGGTGTTGTGTTTCTGATAATATGTATTGGTAAATCATAGTAAACATGAAATACATTGTGAAATTATTTTAATTTAATTAAATTTTTTTTAAATTTCAGAAACTTCAATTAAATTCTAAATGCTGCAAAATCTGGTTAGTTACTTTGAGTAAGAGTAACTCAATAATGTAATGCATTACTTTACATTATTTACAACTCAACCCATCCCATACCAAAAACAGTTTTCTTTTGTCTCTCCTAAAGTTTCAAAGTTTCAAAATGTTTTACATTACCAAACACTTACAGACTAATATGGGATGTGTCAATGAAAAAGTTTTCTCTGACTTTATTTTTCAATTTACTCTTGTTGTGTCTAGAACGGTTTATCTCCACTCCACATGGCAGCGCAGGGTGACCATGTGGAGTGTGTCAAACACCTGCTGCAGCACAAGGCACCTGTTGATGATGTCACACTGGACTACCTGACAGCCCTCCATGTTGCTGCCCACTGTGGTCACTACAGAGTTACCAAACTTCTATTAGACAAGAGAGCCAACCCGAATGCTCGAGCATTGGTACATGCATTCTTCTTATTGTGGGTCTTGTTTCCTCTATAAAGCTTTTAATAATCTTACACTTTCTTGCTTGTTTGCTTCTTTTTAGAATGGTTTCACTCCTCTACACATTGCCTGTAAGAAAAACAGAGTCAAAGTGATGGAGCTCTTGATCAAGTATGGAGCATTCATTCAAGCTATCACTGAGGTATGAGCACAGAGACTAACACTCCCATACGAACATCATGGAGGTATCTTGTCTCATTTGATATAATAATATGTATTTACAAAGTTTCAGTTATTTATTCAGTTTAGTGATTTGCCAGAATCTTCAATAAGCCTGTATAGAATCTGTGCAGAATTTCTCAGAAAACTCTGCAGTTCCCTTTCATAGGTTCACTCAAATAGCTCTAGCGTCAGTGGCATTTCTGAATTTGTGCACTGTGACAACTTTTGAGTTAAAGTGTGTTGCTCTCTGCGCACTTTATTTTTAAGGACGGGTGGAAAAACAGAATCACTCTGTTTCTGAGGTGGCCTTCTTTTGCCTTTAAAGAACTTACTAACCCTTATGAAAAAGACGTTTATTCAAGTGTGCTATTAGCATACTTCTTTTAAACTGAATGCTCGAGCATTGGTACATGCATTCACTTTTTATGTACTTCTCAGAAATGGGCTTTATGTACTTCTCAGAAATATACTTAAAATGACATTTAAGTATACTTGACTTATAGCCTACTTAGAAAAAGTCTAAATATATTTGAGCTATACTTGTGTTCCTAGAATCTGTGTTTTCATTGTTATACTGTAGGGGGCGCTAGTACACATTTTCTGTACAGAATTTCCAAAAAACACAAGTGAAGAAGAAACCGAAACAACAAGACTATACTTCAAAGTGTACTAAAAATGCTACTACAAGTATTTATTTAGAAAACTCTCAGTATTCATATGTTCACTTTTAGTGTAGTTGCAGTACAAGCTAAAATATTGTTGTAAACTAGTTGTGTACTTAGTTTACTACTGTTATACTTAAAGTATACTTTTATATACTAGAAAGTGGGCCAATTTAGTCCCAAGGAGTATTGAAATAATACACTTACAAGTATACTACTAGTACACTGATATTTATATACCTTCTACATAAGATATACTTATACAAAAATATACTTGAACTTTACTTAAGTATACTTAATAAAATAAACTTGAAGTATACTACTTTTTGGTAATGGAAGGTGGTTTCATGTGCTTTTGACAGGCTAAAGCTGAACTGGCTAGATACTGACCAGCAGAAAGAACAGTCCAAGTTGGATGAGTGCTTTCTGCTTGGTTGTAATTTGCATCCACATTCTAGATTTCCGTAATGAGTCATAAAAAACTTCAAAGCAGCTGTTTTCAGATTGTATCACTAATCCGGCTACTTCTGACTTTAACACCATCATGGGTTTAGTGGAGCAAGGGTACATGGATATTTCAAAGGTTATTTCCTTTCCTAGGAAATTTCACACCGTCATTGGTCCTATCTTTGAAAACAAAACCTACCGTTCCATCTAATCCTTGTAGGACTACGTCTTTCCTGATTAGCAAGTCCTACATGGCTGCTGGCCATGGCACTACTACAGGCGTGCTAAGCGGACGTCTTTAAGGGAAGAGGGAAGTCGTGGCCTAATGGTTAGAGAGTCGGACTCATAACCCAAAGGTTGTGGGTTCGAGTCTCGTACTGGCAGGGATTGTAGGTGGGGGGAGTGAATGTACAGCACTCTCTCCCACCTTCAATACCATGACTGAGGTGCCCTTGAGCAAGGCACCGAACCCCCAACTGCTCCCCGGGCGCCGCAGCATAAATGGCTGCCCACTGCTCCGGGTGTGTGTTCACGGTTTGTGTGTGTTCACTGCTGTGTGTGTGCACTTTGGATGGGTAAATGCAGAGCACTAATTCTGAGTATGGGTCACCATACTTGGCCACATGTCACTTTCACTTCACTTCACTTCACTTCACTTCACTTAAGGATATGTTCAAAGGGGCCTCTGAGGCAGTCAAACAGCTCCCGTGTGCCGCTGATCTGTTGCTTCGAGTCACAAATCATATGGTTTGCACAGTCAGTCTCTCCATTTCAGGTTTGTTTTGCGACAAAGATGCATCTGTGGCTCAATCTCACAGTGATTAGAAAGGAGAATAACTTTTTGCTCAATGCCCCTGTCCAGTGTCTCTGTCAATGCTTTTCTGCAACATGGTCAGTGCTGTCATCAAGAAATTCCACATGGCAAAGCAGCACTCAGCTACGTTCAAGCAGTTCATTCCTTTACACACTTGAGAGCTTGTAATGTCTGCAGGTTGTTCTTGCCGTATTCTCTAGTGTCATAAAGAGGAGCAGAAGAGTTTTGATATTGTCTACCCTCTCCCTCCGAAAGCCTAGGGTGTGTGTCCAGCAACCATGCATTGGGCATTAACCTGGCTGATAAGTCTTCCCGGTCTTTGATTCAAGAAAATCATCCCTGACCTGTTGGTAAGGAAAAGGAGCACAGCCCCCTGACCCCTTTGGATTTATGCCTCTTCCCATATGCGTGCGACATTGTTTTTCCATCAAGCGGTGCCCCGTTCATTCATGCTGGGCTCAAGGTCCTGTCCAAAAAATGTTATACCCCTCATGACACAGTTAGAGACGTTGCAGGCTCTCTCCCTCCAGCACATTCTCCGGTGATCGTATCATCTAATTTAGGCACAGACAGACACTTGGCCATTCAGAGCCCTATGTCACAGGCTTCAGTGACAGAGCACCTGACACATCTCTCTGTCCATCTGCCAGCTTGGAGACTTCTGCCAAATGTGTCCTGATGGGTTTTTTAGAACCGTATGGCATACTGTTTCTGCACGTTCGAATAGGAAATGTATTTATGACTTATTGGAAATTTGGACAAAATCACAATTTTATGACTGACCAAATGTTTCCATAGTGTCAGCTACTGATGCAGCTTCTCATCCCTACTCAGGGAACAAGGGTTACATACATACTGAAAGTTACTAATGAATGTTTGGTTTCAGCTTTGTTTAACATTTTACCACATTCTGATCAATTCCATATGTTTTTCCTGCACAGTCAGCATAGAAAAACAGATTCAGAACACAATAGATCTGTTTAGGGTCTATTCATTTTATTGATCAATACTGTATATCAATATAATCACAATACATTTACATTTAGTAATTTAGCAGATGCTTTTATTTAGTGACTTACAAATGAGGACAACGGAAGCAATCAAAATCAACAAAAGAGCAATATGCAAGTGCTATGACATGTCTCAGTTAGCCTAACCCAGTACATGTAGTGTCACACTCTGCCTCGGAGAGGAACGATGAAGACGTAGAATAAATGAAACAGTCTTTAATATAATCCACACACAGGGTACATCCAACATTGGGAACGGCAGAAAACACACGAACATAACAAGTAGACCCGACAAAACCAGAACGCAAAGGCATAGACTTAAATAAAGGGGATTATTGGGGAAACACAGGTGCATGGGATCATAATCAAACTAATTAGACTGAACGAGGACAGGAACATAACCAAATAAGGGAAAACAGGAACAGAAACAGGGGCAAAACCGGTCCATGATCCTGACATATCGCCCCCCTCCCGGAAAGTGTATCCTCGTGTAGAGGAGGTTCCGGAGGAGGACGGACACCCGGGAGGAGGCCGGCGGACAGAGTCCAGGGGGGTACTGCAGGAGGAAAGAGTCAGGGAGGAGACAGGAAGGGCCAAGCAGGACCCAGGCCACAGCCATGATGGCGGCCCACGGTGGAGCCAACGGAGGGAGGAGCCATGGAGGAGCAATGGCCGCCGACTCCAGGGGGCCGACCAACGGCAGCGGAGCAGGTGGCGGAGGAGCCTGAGGTGGAGCTGGAGAGCCGATGATACAGGGCGACGGGGAGGATCCGGAGGGCCAAGGTAGAGCAGATGGCGCCGGTGACTGACGCGGAGGTGTGGATCCGAAAGGCCGCGGTGGAGCCGGAGTGACAGAGGACTGAGGAGGAGCCGAAGTGATGAAGGAGCCTGACGGAGCCAGATGGACAAAGGGACGAGGCGCAGTCGGAGGAGTGGAGTCCTGAGGCGCAGGATGGTCAACGCCAGACCAAGGCAGTGCCGGAGGGACGAGGGAGCCCGGCGGAGCTAGTGGACTACCGGGCCACGGCGGAGAGGAGAGAGCTAGGAGCCATGGTGGAGCCGACGGGTCAACGGGCCGAGGCAGAGTCCGGGGCTTAGAGGCTGGAGGTGGAGTCAAGGGATACTCCAGCCATGGTGACACTGGAGGATGGCAGTCCTGCAGAGCTCGCACCATATAGATGGTGGGCTGAGGGCGAGCAGAGGGGCTGCCAGACGACAGCGGAGGAGGAGGCAGGAGTGGGTGGGGGAGTGGGCATTTGTGAGCCTCCGGGCTTTCAGGGCTGAACTCAGGAATGGGAGCCCCCTCTGGGCAAAACATGGAAACTGGAGCCCTCTCTGGGCAGGACGTGGGAACCGCAGCCCACTCTGGGTTTGGTCATGGGAACAGGGGTAATAGAAGACTCCGAACAATGAGGGAGGAGAGGGGGCAAGTCAATATACAAGTCTATAAGGTCTCCCTCCGCTCTCCAGTCACCCAGCTCCATTATCAGCTCACCATCAGCCACGGCACAGGCAGCGGAGCTCCTCTCCGCACTCCCACTGTCCGCGGCACTCTCCCTCATGGCAGGCGTGGTTGCCAGCTCTCGCACCTGGTCTGACGAGTTCAGCAGCTCCGGCTCCGCAGCGATCCTCAGCACTGTCGCTCCATGCGGCGATGGCTCGTCGGTCACAGCGGGCTCTGGCTCTCCGTCAGCGGGGAGATGGTGGGCTGGGCACTGAGTCCGGGGTGGCACTGGCGAGATCCCCCTCGGGACAGTGTCCACTCCACAAATGCAGCAAAACTTGTTCGAGGGCTTTCCTCGGACGATGGGGCTTTGTACACGGAGTTTAAACTGGCGTCATAGAACGCACAGAGCACGTCATCCGGGTAGCTGGAGAGGTTGGCGAGGACCAGGAACAGTCTGGTGTGGCCCTCAAGCGATCTCTCCCCCTGCTCCAGCAGGAGGAGGAGATATTCCGGATGAAGGAGGGGATCCATGGACACAACGGAAACAAAAAACTCTGAGGAAAAAACGGAAACAGGAGAGGAGAGAGCTAGGAGCCATGGTGGAGCCGACGGGTCAACGGGCCGAGGCAGAGTCCGGGGCTTAGAGGCTGGAGGTGGAGTCAAGGGATACTCCAGCCATGGTGACACTGGAGGATGGCAGTCCTGCAGAGCTCGCACCATATAGATGGTGGGCTGAGGGCGAGCAGAGGGGCTGCCAGACGACAGCGGAGGAGGAGGCAGGAGTGGGTGGGGGAGTGGGCATTTGTGAGCCTCCGGGCTTTCAGGGCTGAACTCAGGAATGGGAGCCCCCTCTGGGCAAAACATGGAAACTGGAGCCCTCTCTGGGCAGGACGTGGGAACCGCAGCCCACTCTGGGTTTGGTCATGGAAACAGGGGTAATAGAAGACTCCGAACAATGAGGGAGGAGAGGGGGCAAGTCAATATACAAGTCTATAAGGTCTCCCTCCGCTCTCCAGTCACCCAGCTCCATTATCAGCTCACCATCAGCCACGGCACAGGCAGCGGAGCTCCTCTCCGCACTCTCACTGTCCGCGGCACTCTCCCTCATGGCAGGCGTGGTTGCCAGCTCTCGCACCTGGCTCCGGCTCCGCGGCGATCCTCAGCACTGTCGCTCCATGCGGCGATGGCTCGTCGGTCACAGGAATGGGAGCCCCCTCTGGGCAAAACATGGAAACTGGAGCCCTCTCTGGGCAGGACGTGGGAACCGCAGCCCACTCTGGGTTTGGTCATGGGAACAGGGGTAATAGAAGACTCCGAACAATGAGGGAGGAGAGGGGGCAAGTCAATATACAAGTCTATAAGGTCTCCCTCCGCTCTCCAGTCACCCAGCTCCATTATCAGCTCACCATCAGCCACGGCACAGGCAGCGGAGCTCCTCTCCGCACTCCCACTGTCCGCGGCACTCTCCCTCATGGCAGGCGTGGTTGCCAGCTCTCGCACCTGGCTCCGGCTCCGCGGCGATCCTCAGCACTGTCGCTCCATGCGGCGATGGCTCGTCGGTCACAGCGGGCTCTGGCTCTCCGTCAGCGGGGAGATGGTGGGCTGGGCACTGAGTCCGGGGTGGCACTGGCGAGATCCCCCTCGGGACAGTGTCCACTCCACAAATGCAGCAAAACTTGTTCGAGGGCTTTCCTCGGACGATGGGGCTTTGTACACGGAGTTTAAACTGGCGTCATAGAACGCACAGAGGCACTCTCCCTCATGGCAGGCGTGGTTGCCAGCTCTCGCACCTGGTCTGACGAGTTCAGCAGCTCCGGCTCCGCAGCGATCCTCAGCACTGTCGCTCCATGCGGCGATGGCTCGTCGGTCACA